GAATGGACAGTGGCGTTGTGGGTGTCATTAGTCACCTGAGCATCATGCTGTGGGAGTGGCATTTTTGGAGCCTACTAGTGGGATTTGCTTGGCCTATTAATCTTCTCATGATTGATTTGGGCGGGGGGGGGTGACAAATCATTCCGTACAGTTGCAGAACTCGACCCATCAAGTCGACAGATATAGAGGCTACTTACGTTCGATCATCGCTGTCTTCGCAGCTTAACTGATATCTAGTAGGAGCACCGTGTGAGCAATGAACATACTCTGCGTCTCATATGTGGCGCTCTCGACTGCGAATAGCGGTCGCCGGGCGGCTTTTACTTTGACGGCAGTTTTCCTCGTTCATTACTTTGTACAGAGAAGATATTTCGTGTTTATTTTTTTCTAATTCATCTTCGCTTGCGATTCTGAATTTGATTATTGATTATTATTTACTCTGGTACTTTTATCGTGTACTTTTCGTTCACTTTGTCACTTTTACCGTCACATCTGCTAGGCTATCAATAATGAAAAAGCTGACTTACTGTGACACTTGTTGCAAAATAGTTGGGCATTGAGCCATTGCTGTTACATGTCTCGTGTGTAGTGTGAATTTCCACACTTCGTATGTAGGTTTGTCTTCAGATCATTTTACACTACTACGTGAAATCCAGCATGACTTTGTCCAAATATTGTGCAAGAAATGCCAAGCCACTGTACAGTCACAAACAGCCGAGAAGCCGCGCGAGCCTACAAGACGGGCGAAACGTTCCATAGGGAGGAACTCCGTGGGTTCATCCAAGCAAGCGGAAACCCAGCCACCTCTATGTTCGAACGAGCCCACCAGCCCACCGGTTGCAGCCTCTCCAGCGCGATACCCAACCATTGCTGGAGACTCAGCTGACGTGTCTCTGTTGCGTCCTACGGATACTAAAATAACGGTGTGCGATAGTGCAGGCGTTGAAGGCTAATGGAGAATGCAGCGAAGCAAAAAGGAGAAGACAACTTCCAGCATTCAGCGGCGTTGTGACCTTATGACATTTCATGCGCTTGAGTCGACAAATGCTAGTCCTCAGGCTCATAATGACCATGACGTGGCTTTTCTACATTCTGGTTGATAGGCTTCTTGACGTGAATTAACAAAGGTTACGGGTACAACAAACCACCCGTCTTGGGAAGAGAGGAGGGGAAATCCCGGCCTCTGCGAGTCACCTTTGTGGTTGCAACGAGTCCGTGCCTGATACTATCCCACCTCGCTAGACTAAGGTCTGAATATCCATATTCGTCCTCATTTGGATCCGTCGGACAGATATAAACTGAAGTCCGCTATCGTGGAGTTGAAGCGGCGGACTGGTAGTGGAGAAACTAATCTCCACATCGTAAATTTTCGGTTAGTTTCCCGGGTCCGCCGAATCCGGATCAACCGATCGATGACGCTACATGCGCATTTGCCGCCCCTACCGCGGCCTGCACATAGCCTTCACAAATGCTTGTAGTTTAATGAACAAACGTGACGATGTATTTCACTTCGTTGCCTCACGTCGTCCGGCCGTATAACGACTGGCCGAAATCTGATTACATCCTGTGGTCACCACCCAGGAAGTCCAGATTAGTGGCTACTCGTGCTTCCGGTGCGACGGACTATCAAACGATCGAGGTGGCGTGCTGTTATACATTCGGTCCTCGCTGTGCAGGCGACTGGTACACATCTACCGTAGCAGAGATGGCTTGTGCAAACAGTTTTGGTATTCGATCCGCCCGAGATGGTGAACCCTTTGTGTGTGCTGCTTATCGCAGCCCGCCAAGTCTGGATTGGTTGCCGCATGCCAAAAACTACATGAGTCGGCCCCGCTTCCTGCTTATGGGTGATTTTAACTTCCCTCGAATACTGTGGCCTGAGGCCCAACTTCTTCCCTGGCAACGTGAAGTCGAGGTGCGGTTTGCAGAGATGGCATTTAAAACTGGACCCGCACAACATGTCTTCTAAGCGACGCGCGTTACACTGCATTCTGCTCCATTGTGCGTGGACCTACAACTAATGAGTTGCGAGCAACGTGTACATGAAATTCAGCTCCTGGGGCCTCTGGCACCTAATGACCACTCAATGGTGTTAGCCAGCCTAGAACTGCCGCTGCCCTACTCGCGACTGCCGGAGCCGTCTTGCAATTATTGGAAGACTGACTTCAATGGTCTAACTCGAGCCGCCAGTAAAGTAGACTGGTCACTGCCGTAGGATTTATTTTGTTGAGGCCTGCTGGCCAGTTATGAAAGAGCGTGTGCAGTCGTTATGCGCTCGTTTCCTAACGCTCGAGTATCGGAAAGCTAAACCAGGGAAGCCACATTTGTTCGACAGAGAGTATAGTCAATTGACTCGACGGCTACGCGAATTGTGGAATGAATTCCTCGTCTCTTCTGGCTCTACCGACGGTTATGAGGCGTACAAAAGACATAGGAATCTATGAAACAGCGCGAAAGCTTCGGCAGTTCGAAGAGGAGCTTGCAACCTCAGCGGAAACGGCCCCAAGAAGATTTTTGCTTACGTGAAGTGGCGCCTGAGGCCCGCAAGTGACGTAGCTGAGGGAACTGACGCACAGCCTCTGACCTTCAGCACTGAACGTGCGTCCGCATTGGCGGAGCACTTCTCTTCCACATATGCAAGTGGGCATGCGCCTATGCCGAGATCGACGTGTGCAGCCCCTACTGAACTCGAGGGCCTTGATTGCAGTGTGGATGTCCTCGGTTTACTCGCCAGTCTTTATGGCACAAAACTTATCTAACCCGATCGACATCACCCGCTAATTTTAAAGTCCTTATCGGTCATCATCTCGCCTGCCGTGACGAATCTGTTCAACAGATCGCCGTCCGACGGTGCATTGCCGAGCGACTGGAAATACTCGGTAGTGAAGCCTATTCCAAGGAGTGGTGACCCACGTAATGTGGATAATTACCGGGCGATTTGTCTCACCTCTGTTTTGGCGAAGGTGCTCGAGAAGATTGTGAAAAAGACTCTTCAGCTGCTGAGGTCGAAAGATCTAACGCCGACACAGCATGGTTTTTTGAAGGGCCGCTTGTGCATCACCAGCCTGCTGTTGACGCAGCAGGAAAAGTTGCAAGCATTGGATCAGGGGAGGTCAGTGGATGCTATCTACATTGATTTCAGTAAAGCTTTCGATAAAGTGAACCATAAGGTCTTGCTACACAAGCTGAGGATGTGTGATGTTGGTGGCGCACTGCAATAGTGGATCAGTGACTTTCTTCTTGGGAGAAGATGGCGGGTTCAGGTGGATGACCACCTAAATGAATGGTGCCCGTCCACTAGCGGCGTACCCCAAGGAACAGTACTGGGGCACATTTTATTCCTGATCCATATCGACGAAGTACTCCGGCTTCTTCAGTCGCACTGCATATTATTTGCGGATGACCCGAAGATTTGGAGTATTATTTATTCTCCCGGCTACTGTGAAGTCCTTCAGCAGGACCTGGACCGCCTATCCCGGTTGTCTGCAGAAGTTGATCTACCGGTCAACACGGCCAAGTCCTCATTTATGAGCCTGGGGAGGGGTAGTAATGGGAGTGCGTACACCCTGATCGGCCACCCACCACATCCCACCCATTCCGTAAAGGATTAAGGCGCACTTTCACGCGGTGGTCTGAAGTCTGTCGACAACACGTACAGACTATATATAAAAGGACTACGCATGCTTTGGGCACTTAGACTCAGCTCTTGCACTTGGTCTGTAGAGATTGCCACCCGTCTTTTCTCTTCCATAATAAAACCGGTGCTTGAGTACGGCTCATTCGCCTGTTGTCCAATCACAATGGGTGAGGCGCAGAGACTAGAACGGGTCCAGCATGTAGCTATCCGGCTCATCCCGTTTACGGGCACTGCGTACGAAGACCGATGTAGGAGACTAAGGCTTTATACCCTGTTATGTCGTCGCCTTCGAATTAATCTCATTATGACGCACCGGATACTGTACCTGGGCCACTTCCCTGTGTTGAAGCCGCTGCTGCACGTTCGCGCACTAAGAAGCGCACGCGGACACCGGTACAAACTAGTGATACTGGGTTTGAAGCGTATGGCTTATCCTCCATGCTTCGAGCGTCGTGTGGTGAAATATTGGAACAAATTGCCGGAGACGCTAGTCGGGACGAAATCGGTGTTGGAATTTAAGTGATTCTTTGACGCTCACTTTGCGGACTACAGGTATAGGGAGCGTATCGGACCTGGATAAGATGTAGTGCAGCTGCAATATGCTGCCACCGCGCAGGAATCAGCGACGTGATTCCGCGCGTGTGTCCGATCCACCTACGATGGAGTAATCCAGATTTTTATCTTTTCGCTCTCTGTTCTCAGTATTCAGGAAGAGCGAGTGGACCGCTCAGCACCGTCACATCACACCTCAAGTTCAGAGGGCTGCCGCACGTGTTGCGTATACCATCACACCGACTCTCGCGTTCTGCGTTGTTTGCGCGACCGGGGTTGGATGGAACAAGAATGGAGCGATGACTTATTCACTAGGAATGAAAACCTTTCTTCGAAGTTGGCGTCGCTTGGTACCTCTTGACTTCAGGGCTTGGGTTGGGTCCTAAGGAAGATGAACACATTTGTTGAATACACTTGTCGACATGACGAATATCCGATCCTAATGACGTCTGTGTTGTGAGTTCCTCTGTCCCTCCCCACCCCGCTTATGTTTCCCTACCAACCATGATCTCTTAAAGCATTACATCTTACTAAGCAGTGTGTTGCCTATCTTTTGCATTCTGTAATGTTTAGTACCTTGCTTTTTCTGATATGTTATCTTCACGTACTGCGGCACAATCGGTGATGTATGTTTCTCATCTTCAACTAATTTGTACTCATGATGTTGATGATGACGACGATGGTGGTGACGGTGATGTTTATCATGATGATGATGTTGATGGAGGCGAGAGGTGTCTGTTATCATCCGATGTAGACACCATCCTTCCTTGGCGAGTATTGATATTTTCCCCTATTTTTCCCTTTCGTGTAGGCAAGGTGTACTGCTTCGTGTGCCAAAAACGATGCAGAGGAAACATCCTGAAAGTAGAACAGCGGTTCGTGCACCACAAGTGCTTTCAGTGTACAAGTCAGTGATGTTTGTTCACCTCATTCTTCTGCTATTCGTAGAATGTAAGAAAGATCTACAACAAGGCGGATTCTTTATACGTGATCAGCGCCTATACTGTCCAGAGGATTACCAATCCGATTTCGGTGTCAAATGCGCCGCTTGCCAGAATTACGTTGAGGGCGAAGTGGTAACAGTTTTGGACAAGGTTTTTCACACCAAATGTTTCCGATGTTCCGCGTGCCGGTAAGTTCGGAATTTATCAACATAAATGTGTGAATCCGTTTGTTTTTGTTTCTGCCTTCCTCGTGATCACCTGCTCTGCTGCTCAATGCACGGTGTCAGTCGCACTTTTGTTTTTCTACGAATTCTATCGATCCCTACGGTGTTCTATTTGTAGCCAAATATGCTCATTGGTGTGCTTTTGTCTTTAAAGTACATTGTTATGGATAGTCCCGGCGTGCTGCATTCTTAAAGCACCGCGAACTCTCTTGTCATTATTTCTTAGACAAGCGCGCTATCCGGTTCCCAATGCCTGCCTTGCTCGAGCCTGCGTAGAGGACCGGGCGACCCTCGCAGTCCACGCGCGACTGTTGGTAGTTACACGGCCACGACGCGTCCGTACTGCATACCGGCGTACTGCTGCTACCTTATAGTCTAGAATGTTCTAGCCACTGAACTAAGTCCTGATGACGTATAAGGGAAATAGTATCGAAATATAAGGTGGTAAATGCGTGACGAAAGCAACACTGCGACTGGGTTTAAGCCTTACTTTGACACCGCAGTTTACTTACTTGTCTGCTACTTTTAATTACGATTAGCTGCGTTTAGCCAAAAACCACTTCGTTAGCAAAGGAAAACCTACAATAATTATCTTTTATCAGCTTCCTTCTCTTCTTCTGGTCATTAGGACATGCCCAGCTGTGGCCAAATTTTCGATTCCCATACCCTAGCCACTTTGTTTTGGTCATATCATCTGCTTTCGATTAGCGAACGAACGGAAACAGCTAACTTTTGACCTATCTTGTGTTCACCATCTTACCAATTTTCTTCGTTCCCCCTTTCACTGCTCCTATAACTTTAACTTAAGCCTCGAAATCGATTAAAATAACAAGTTTACTCTTATTCAGGGTGCACTCTTTACCTTTCACATATGTATCTGAAGGTTTCGACATCACAGCATGCTACTTCATTAACCCAATTTGCATAACCTTACGTCGCATAGCGTGAGGCTCATACCTATTCCGACACATCTCGCTAAGTCGGGTTTGTTACTTCGTATATTTCCATGCTATTTTACTTGACATGGCATCATCCACGTTTCCTAATCCTCCCATACAAAACCCGCCTGTACGCATTTGGAATGCTTTCTTCACTAATGTTCGGACAACTGGTTACGCTCGACCTGGTGCCTCCCTTAACATCTTTTCATCTGTTACCTCCAGTGAGTGCTTCCGCATACACGTGTGGGGGATCAACACATTTCTGCGCTGCTCCCGTGCCACATTTTGTCTCATTCCTTTGTCTCCACTACCTTTTTTTTGTCTATGCGCCTGGTCGCATACCGTTCCTATCGATTGGGTTGATGTATAATTGTTGAATTTTTGTGTCGCACTATTGTAGTGTTTCGTTACATTGAGAGCACCGTTCGTCCATTCCTCCGTTCCGACAACACTGACACCACTATGTCTGGTCGCTTGTTAAGCGAAAAGTACACACTAGCTGCATTGGACTTCTCCTATACATTTAGGCTAATTCTCAGCTACAGTCTAGCCATTTTATGCAACCGCAGAAGTTTGCATTCCATTGTTTCACCGCATCATTATGTTACCTGCGCTCACTTTGTAACAATCAACCAGTGTTCCGATTACTGCGGACTAGTCAAGAACTATGGGGATTGGGTTTGAATCCAAGGTTTCCATGGTTCTTGTTTGTGGTTACCAGCCGATTGTTGCATATTGATCCAGAGGTACACTTATCTTTTCTATGCGACATAGGATGCGTTCGTTTGCTGCACTTCTACGTTTCTTTTTCGATTTTACCGCATAATCTATATCGCTGGGATAAAAATATGTCATTGTTTGGCCGTTATTTACGATTGAGTAAACAATATTGATCTCCTCTTTCCCTCGTACATTCACGAACACACTGGTTCTTACAGATACGACAGTTGGTACTTCGTTTTAAGGTTCTTTTTATCCAACAACCTAATCCATGGTAGCTCGATATGCGCTATACAATGATAAGTAGTTAATTAACTATAAATACTCGCTAGCGGTAATAATCTCTAATAAATGTTCAGTTCTTATCGTGTAGTTGTTTGTTTTCCACCTGTATACTGAACAGTGTTATGGGAGCAAGTGGAAATTTATATCTCTACTCAGACTGTTGAAAAACAGCGAAAACTAACTATATAACCTGCAAACATTTCGATCGTTCTTCAAGTTATCACGTGATATCTTAAAAAAAACGTATAACTCACGGTAAATTGGGACCCACACACGTGAGAGGTCAGTGAACACCGATTTTCTGGATTTAACATTGGAGCAATGAACATCCAACAATGTTTGGAACTGCTACACTGAGTCTGCTTCCAATAAATACTCCGGCAAGCCGTTCCACTCATGACTGTACCGGTGCTCCCATGTGCTTCAGAATGTTCACATGGAGCAGTGGCCTCAGCATTGGGTAGGCATCTAGATGTGGAATGCAGTAGGTTGACTCACAACCAGTGATATGACAAAATATAGTCCCAGTCTCTCATGTGCGTTCGTACGGTAAACTCCATATACTGGAAATGAGCTTGGTAGCGACTTGTTCGCCCCTTTCGATCCTCTGCGTTTCATCTCGTGGGATCGGGCAATAGATGGGTGAGTCATACTCTAGTATTGGTCTTATGCTAAAGAAGGGTCCATTGGCAACCTCTTCAGACCAGATGCAGAAATTGCTTTAGGGTGCCCAGAGCATGCAGAATTCGTTTCGGTGTAGCCCTTCCGTTTTGTCCACTGACTTCAAATCACAACGTAGGAGTTCGCCTGCGAACTTCACGGAAGGTGTGAGATGTAGTAGTAGACCATCAAGGGTTTGGGTTCTGTCGTCACCACCCGCACTTCACCTGGTTTCTTCTTGGGCAAAAAATGCCCGTACTTCCCATTTTCAACTACCTAACTCGAAATTCTAATGTCGTTCATCGTAATTCGCTACTTTTTCTTGACTGTCCTCTTCATTCTTGCTACACGTATTAGCCACTTATTTTCGTCGGGAGAACGGACAACCATTTTTGATGAGGCTTACTACTGCGTTGATTGCGCGGACCGGCTTGCGGACGGTGTGCAGAAAAACCATTCGGGTGCTGAAACCTCACCAACTGGGGGTTCCCCTTTCAAGGCTCGTGCAACTCCAGATGGGCATGGAGGTCTCGATTTGAACCCCGTCCCTGTCTGGACTCAGAAAGCGCCTACAGCAATGCTGTCCACTCTTCCAACCCATCCTCATTTACAACCGGCCTCGACCACAAGTGGATTGACAAACGGACTGCGTGATCCTTATCCGTTTGTTGACGGTCAGCTAACCGTGCAGATACATCAAAACGGTTATTCAAGTATGTCACTTCTGGCTTACACCACGATGACTCTTAGTTATTCAAAACCATGTTTCCATATTTGCACATTGGCGCTGTAGATAAACAACTAAATACATAAGGTCTACTCTTGAACTTTCCAGACCTATCTGTTTCGGCATGATTAAGATCCACCCCATAGACGAGATGTTGGTCGGAAACATTCGCATTACGTTGGGACGATTCGCAAAACATTTTTGAACCTTTTTGTCTCATATTTTACTACTCTCACATTACCTGAATCAAGGCTGTTGACGTATTTATGGGGGTTCATAGTCACGCGAATTAGTCGGCATCCCTGATACACCTCCTGTACTATTTTTCGAGCCTGGTTTGCAATGATGTCTAAATTTCTTTTATTTTAGAGAATGCTGTTGTAGGACTGGTCGGGATAAATACAACTGAAACGTCTATCCCTCTTCGATCATCTCTGTAAATAAGTAAACAAATTGTTTGTTTCCCGACTGTGTGAGACTCGGCTCAATTTGTTGGTCCGGTCAAATCGTACAAGGGGATCGCAGATGTGTTGATTATTTAGGTAAATGGCCTATGTACGCGTGATCTTAGTTTGGTGAAGCACGCGTCATTTGACATAGTCAAGCAGACTTTCAGAAAACACAGTATCAGTCACATGTTGGTTTGTTGATAATTCCAGAGGTTATTGTAAATAAACAGTTTTGTGTCATTCATATGTTGGCATCCTCGTCATTATGCACGTCAGCCAGAGGTGGGAAACACCTCAGCTACTGTACCGCAATACATAAATGAAAAGGAAAATAAATACAACAGTTGCATGCCAGCTGAGCTACCAGCAACGGATAGGCATCGTTCCGGTAAGCTACTAGCCTGCTACTAGGTAAAAAGAAAAATTATTGTTTTACGTTACGAAATGAAATCGTGGGTGGAGGGGGAGGCTAAAAGAGATGAAGAGGGACAAAAAAACGCACAGCAGGAGCGCCACTGAGGTCGGCTCCTTGACATGTCAGCAAGTGTATCCAGCCAAACGTGTTCACCGTCTTTTGGACCTCAACCAGGGAGCCGTGATGCTCTAACCGAGGCCAGCTCCGAAGTGAGGGCCTTCGTTTCTCTGGACCAAGTCATCGCTTGGCCACCCCTCCTCTTCTTCCATCCACATCCCCGGTATGCAAACAACGCACGTCGTGGAAGACGGTGCGCCTTCATACGCCCAGTCATCGGAGCCTGGTGCGTGAAATGACGGTGCTGAGCCGTTCAGTTCCTTTTCATGTACCGTAAACAAGGCGTGGAACACGCTCGTTACTCACGCGGTGTTCCCACCAGATGTGAGCCAAACTGCGAAGGCACCGATGGTCGAACGTAACTAGCCTCTTCATGTCCGCCGATCTTAGGGGCCAAGTTTCGCAACCGTACAGTGTGGTCGAACGTACCGCTGGATTGTACACTCTACCCTCCAGGGTGAGAGTGATGTCGCTGCGCCGCCGCCATAAGTGGCGAAGATTAGCAAAAGCACTTCGAGCTTTTGCTATACGGTTTGTGATCTCGTCTTCGATCCCAAGGGCGGTGATACAACTTCCCAGGTAGTTGAATTTCCGAACGACTTCTAGCTGATCCCCACCAAAGGGTCAGCGCAGGAGGGGATCCCTGCCAATCTTGGATGAACGCTTTGCACTTCGAGGGTGCGAAGCAAAGCCCGAAGCGGCTGACAGCCAGTGCTAATCTGTCCAGTGCGGCTTGGCACGTCTGGGAGCTGTCACAGATGAGGGCAATGTCGTGTGCATACTCCAAGTCAAGAATTCGTTCACCTGAGAGTAGCTCCACACCTTTCAAGTCATGTCTTGTAAATTCAATCTCCATGGCTTCGTCAATAGCGAAGTTGAAGAGGAATGGTGACAGCGGGCATCCTTGTCTCACAGCGCTGGAGATATTGAAGGGTGGCGACAGCTTGCCGTAAGCCCTCACTCTGCCCGTGCTGCGCGCATCTAATACCCGGATAATATTTACATATTTCTCGGGCACACCTTTCTTGAGTAGACAATTCCGAAGGGCACATCGATCAACCGAATCGAAGGCACGTTTGATATCGAGGAACGGGACAACGGTGGGCCGCCAATATGTGTGACGGTGCTCCAACAATTGATGCAAGTTGAAGATGTGCTCGATGCAGCCGCGATCTTGACGAAACCCAGCTTGCTCCTCATTAATCTGGCTTTCACGAGTGCTAGTCAGTCTGAAGGATTATGGAGACGAGTAATTTGGAGGCGATGGAGATGAGACTGATTCCTCTATGATTGCCGCATTCCGAACGCGAGCCTGCTTTGAAGATGGGAACAATAAGGGAGCGGCTCTAGTCGGTTGGAACAGTCTCCTGCTTCCACAGTTTCACTAGTAATTCATGTAAATCATCCACAGAGCAGGTCCTCCGAATTTGAATAGGGATGGAGGAAGATCATCTGGTCCCGCGGCTTTGTTCAACTTCAACAGTCCGATCTCACGTTCGACTTCTGAGCGAGAGGGCGGATCCAAATGGACAGACCACGGAGCAGGGCGATCACTGGCCGGCGAAGAATCGAACAATTCTAGCCGATTAAATTGCTTTTCAAAATGCTCAGCCCAACGCTGCAGACGTTTTGACAAATTGTGGAAAGGCTGTCCACTCTCATCACAAATTGTTTCACTAACACCAGGCCTCCTGCTTCCCGTTTTCCGTATCAGACGGAATAACATTCGATGGTTACCAAGGGCAGCGGCCACTTCCATCTCTGACGCACGATGAGACCACCAAGATTCGCGGTCTCTCTTCAGGCTAGTGCGGAGTTTTGCCCGGAGCTCTTTGCGAGTTTCATTGTGCTCGCTTCCAGCCGGGATATGCCGGCGAGTGTCGATAAGTTCCAGAGACCGCCAAGAGACCCAATGTCCATGTTGGCATTTAGACATACCACATGAGGATTTGCCCGCTGCAATAATGTCTGGCGAACATGTGACCAGTGACCATCAATTGTCTCCAGTGAGCGATTGCTCAACTCGCATGTCAGCGTACTTTGATACGCATTCAGAACGGCTGGCTTTGTCAGTTGGCTGGTGTAAATGCACTCACAGCGTCGTCGTGGGCATCCGCCAAAGCGCATCCGCACGTCAGCACATACAAGTGCATGATCGGTGTCCACACATGTGCTCCAAATCGGGCGACAATTCTGGATGCAGCCTCTCCAGCGGTAACTAATAGCAATGTGATCGATCTGCGTCCAAGACTGGTGGGCACCCTCCGGCAGTTGCTGTGTCGGAAGTTAGTGCTCTCAAGAAATAACTGGGCATCTTCACACAAATGAAGTAACCGCTCACTGTTATCATTACGGGAGCCTACACCGTGCTGACCGCCCAGATGCATTTCATCAGTGGACAACTTCTCAACTTGTGTGTTCACATGCCTCGCCAGCACAACAGTGTCCGTGCTTCTTCTGTGGCGAAGGAGCTGGGTCAGTTGGCGGTAGAAGTCGTTCTTTACCGAATCATCGCTACAGTTTGTGGGCGCATAGGCAACGATGATGAATAGACATCAATTAGTCCCGCGCGACTTCGAAGCTTTAAACGAGCCAGCCAATCGGACCGCACACATCCGGCCACTGATTGGAATCCAATCAACCAGAGCAGCTTCAGCCCGGAGACTCAGGGCAATGCCAATACCGGCTTAGCCGGTGCTCGAAGCTGCATCGTTACCGGATAGACGCAATGAGAAAATATTGCTTGCGTCACCTGAAGGGGATCGCAGAGTGAGCACAGAGCTCAAGTCTTGCAGGCGGGTCTCTGATAAGCAGCAGATATCGATCATATGTTGGCATATACTTCGACTTGCGGTGTAGTGTGCCTTTGCAACAGAGTGAGTAGTAAGTAAACGGCGACCGATGCGCTGCCGTCGAGATCGACTTTAACTAGCGTGATTGTTGTTTCATTGTGTATACTGACCAATACACCAGCGTCTTTGGTATGGAATCAGGATTCAAAGCAGTCTGACATATAAAAAATTTCTCCGCAATAGTTGAACGAGACTCGGAGGAAGGGGAATTTTGGCAAAACAGTACAGTGGACAGGTTAAACGATTTACAGGCGGAGAACACTGCTGTGGTGATGTCAGTTTTAATAAATCTAGAACCTTGCGGGGAAATTATGATACGAGTTTTAATGGTGTGTTCAGCAGCACACAGTGAGTAAACATAAGTATGGGAGTACAATGTGGCTGGCCCTATTGTTTGTAAGGTTGAAGGTCGCTTGTTGTCTTAACTCCCTATTGGTGGAAAACATCGGGTTAGTTTGACTAGCATATTGCACGCTGAGCCGACAGTATAGACAACAACGACATCAAACTCATTCGTCCATTGTGTTGGATCATCAGTTAAGCGTGTGGTAAGTTACCAATGAACGGCATGCACTTCCATCTGACCTCCGTTGGGCCTGTACGTAGGTCTGTTGGGATCCGCAGTCAGTTATCCATGTGGATTTTACTCAATCAAGTACGTTATCCAAATGAGCTTTTTATTGCACGGCGAGCCAATTTAGAGCCTGCATAGAAAACCTTAATTCATGCACATCAAATCCCAAAACATCTGATTATGCAACACTGTCGCATGTCACTTTTCTTCAGAATCAAACGTTCCATTCCAGTTCCTTGTGGCACACACGTGTCCTCCCAACGAACCATATCTGAAAAGTTTCCAACATTTTCCCAATCCACCTATGATTTTCTTCTACTGTACCTGGTTGCACCACTCACTGCCGAGGCATTGCCTGTCGTGACTCGGTGGCTAATTGGGTAGGGGTTTCGGCTAGCATCCCAATGGTTCCGGGTTCGATGCTTGCTATCTACCTAATGTGATCGTTTACATTCGAAATTGGTCGTAGTGTCACCTTCCCTCTTTAACTTCGCCATAGACGAAGTCATGCAAGCAGCGTTTGCTAGACACGACCGACAAGGTGTGTAGCTAGTTGCTGGTGAGCGACTTTTTGACATG